CCCCATCCCGCCCGCTCGGCGGCTCGATTCGATGAGGAGGAAGAGAGTACCGGAGGAGGAGGGGGTCATACCAACCTCAAAAAAGAGGGGGATCGTACGGACTCGACCAAAATCCCCAACCATTGATGTGCCCTGCCTGTCAAGTCTTCACACACAATAACTCCCTCCCCCGTCGGCGAACCGCGCCAAGATTTAACGTTGAACCTTGCTCCCCTCGTTTGATAGCACATCTGGCTCGATGTTTTTTCTTACAGGTCACAGCCCGCGCTATTACATATTACCTTGATGTTTCCAACGAATGCACTCGAAGAATAATACAAGTGGATGGCGCTGTTAAGGCAATATGTAGTCGGCTTGCTGCTGCCGAAATGACAGATAGGACCAGTAAAGATTTAGGTTCGTTTAGAAAAACTTTTGGGTCTTTTTGCTCTTTTTTTCGTAATGTTGACGTATTTTTCAGCTGAGCAATGTGTGAAACTCCTCGAGCATATCTGTCAACGTGAAACCCTTGCTGTTTACGATGCTGGCGGTATGCACGCCATGCTAACATTGGTTCGACAACACGGCTCACAAGTCCATAAGGTTTGTCCTGGGGAGAACATTGGCGGTACTGTATAATGTGCTTTTATGTGCCTCGGAAAGGCCAAGCAGCAGTTTCGCGTCAGCGCGCACTGCACTGTGTAGTAGCCTGCAATTTTGAAGGCGAGGCAGCTTAAAAAAAGGGGTGGGGTGTGAGGTGACTCCTCTTGACATCTCATCTTTTCACGAATAATATGTGGTCCACCAACCCCAGAGCTTGTTTCCTCTTTTTGAAAATGTAGACTCCTGTAGCGCCCTACGCAAAGCTGCAGACTATCCCTCCCCTTCAGTCCGAATCATATAGCTCTCAAAAAAGCAAGAATTATATTTTTCCGGATTGTGGAGACGTTTTTCAATTTCAGGACACAATGCACTCCGCAATGTCTGTAGTGACACGTTTATGTGGTAAAATGGAACCTAATGATGCTGCCCTTCCGCAATGTGCAGAAAGTCTTGGAGCTTTGCTTGCACATGAGGATAATAAGGTAATTCCGCAATCTTGCTGTTGAATTGCCTTATCTATCATCTTTAAATGTGAAAACATGAAAAAACACCAATAGTTCTATTGCAAAAGGCTCTAAAGATCCAGGAAGGAATCCAAACGTTTTGCAAAATTATTTATTTCTTCAAATATATTTCGATGCTTGGCACGTTCCTCAGTGGTCTGCACCCTGCCTCCACTGGTGTGGAATAGCTACCCTTACGGGGACCCCGCCTCGAAGTACTCACTCTTTGGTACTACTAGTCAGTGCTTCGAGGCGGGGCTTCCGTAAGGGACAGCTACTTCATGCCAGTGGAGCCAGGGTCCAAATCGCTAAGGATGGTGCGAAGCACCGAACTGACCGAAGAAATAAATAATTTTGCAGAAGCTTTTGGATCCCTCCTTGGATCTTTTGACTCATTTGGCACGAAGCTTTTGGTGCCTCTTCATGTTCTCTTAAATTCAGATTCCAATGAGGAGCCGGGGCAGCGCAGACTCAAAGGAACTGTGAAGCAGCCCAAACTTCATGATACTTATCTCTGTTGTTTCAGGTTTCTGAGAGCGCTTTACGTTGTTTTGCGGCTCTCACAGACCGTTTCATTCGCAAGATGCTCGATCCTGCTGAGTTGGCTACACACAGCAATTTGGTTGAGCACCTGCTAACCACACTGTCTAGTGAAACTGCTGCCCCATTCTGCCAATTTCATCTCCATTGTACTCTCGTTACTTAGTAATCTTTGTCGAGGGAGTGCTGCGGTTACCGAGCAGGTGTTGAGGTAACTAGTCCTTTTTTCTAATCCTATAAAGGATGAAATATTCGCCATTGATCAGTCCTTTTTTGTGGCCTATAAAAATGGCTAGTGCGGTCAAACCGATGTGCACGTCATTAGTTCTTAAAAAACTATTCCCAGACAACTCCGGTCAGGGGCACTTCTTGCCGCGGGGATCAAAAGTTTTTAAGAAGACCTTTCCAGTTCCCTCCTCTGATACGCCCGCCCCCCTCCCTTCTTCCCGCCATCCGACGTACATTTTCCCTAGTTTTTCAAAAACTTCTTACCACCCTTTAACGACTTTCCCGGAGTTCTCTGTTTTTTCACTCAGGATTTTGCGTCGAGGCGAGTGGCGGGGACGGCGGGGGGGGGGGGGGGTTAATTACACAGTTGAAAAGGGAAAAACCGCACAAGTGCTAAAGCAATTCAGCGCGGAAAGTTTTACTATGCGCGAGATTCCTGTAAGCCCCCCCCACACTTTATAGCGTCGATATCAAAAAATTTTTCACAACCAAGTACAATACCCCTTCCCCCAGTGAGCAAACATCCTCCCCACTTCTGATATCGATTTACCACCCCGGAGGATAGAAGGCTTGGCTGGCTCGGGCGGGAGCCGATCCGGGATCTGACTCCCGGACTGCGTGCGCACTATACATGCAACCTGCCATTACACCACCACCGGTCAAAAAGGGTGAGGCGGAGGTGACGTAGTCAAATGGCCCGCTTACCACGTGCGCAGATGGGAGTCAGTTTATGGGTCGGCTCCTGCCCAAGCCAACCAAGCCTTCTATCCTCCGGGACGGTGAATTGGTACCAGATTCGTCTGGGAGGATAAAACACTGACTTGTACATCGGCTGGCTCCCGCAAGTCTTGTATACGCCACATTCTTTCAATAAGCCACTGCGATTCCGAAAATAGAATGCGAACAGGGATTGATCAACAGCGGAGATTTTTCCCTTAAAAACGTATGTTTGCATCATTTCAGTTCCCCACGCTTGATCTCGGCTCTACAGTGTGTTTTAACCAACAAGGATGATCGATGTGTAACGGATGGTCTTCGTCTCGCAGATTTACTGGTTGTGCTGTTAAGTGAAGGACGATCAGCTCTTCCTTTCACAATGGCGGTGAATACGTGTAGAATTAATGCCCGGAAAGCACCATACTTGGCGCATGCACGACTTTTACAGTACCAGTCAAGCGGAGAACCTGGCCAAAGCGGACAAAGTGCCGAACGTGCGCATCGACATCTCATAGACGCAATCCGGCAAAAAGATCTCAGTGCTCTTGTCGATACGATAGACAATGGAGTCGTAAGTTTTATGAGATATTGTTTGTTTTTTCAACTAAACACTTAGTTCTAGAGCGCGTTCATACTTGTTGTGAGCGTTTTAAGCGACTAGTAAACTTCAGCGTTTTTGAGCGTCCAACTGCATGTTGAACGGCTGAGAAAACCTAGTTATTGATTATCGCTGAAAACACTGGCTGACGCTCAAAACGTTGATCGATACCTATACTTTCCTATTCGCTCAATACGCTGCCGCAAAGTATGAACGCTTTCTTACGGCGTTTTCACGTGTATTGGTTTAAACAGGTCGATGTCAACTTCACCGACGATGTGGGACAGACATTGTGCAATTGGGCTTCAGCTTTTGGATCACTAGAAATGGTACAGTATTTGTGCGATAAGGTAAGACTGAGTCGTACAGCCTTATTATTACCAGTATTGACGGTATTTTCTGATTTTTAGGGAGCTGATGTGAACAAAGGGCATAAGAGCAGTAGCTTACATTATGCGGCTTCCTTCGGACGACCTGATGTGAGTTGTGGAGCATGCCTTCAGTGGTTTTTCCTCTATGTGGATATAATTCAGATAGTGAAAGTACTACTGCAACGAGGTGCAAATCCGGATTTGAAGAGGAGCGAAGATGGAAAAGACGCAACCCATCCCTCCTTCAGGCGATTGGATAAAGCAAGGGAACGAACTGACGAAGATCATACCCAAGTTGCTCAGATACTTGAGAGTCCTTCTGTATACATGCATTCAAGTGAGTTAGCGTAATCCTTTGGCGCGATATTAAATGTTGATGTTCTTGGCGCGATATTCGTTTCATCAAGAGAGGTGAGGGCGCAGTGAAATGGATCATCAGAGAATATCCTTCCCATTCAATTGAAGGGTCTAAAAGGTCGTAGAAATACAGCCAATCTCGAACGCCACGACTCGCCGAAAGGCGGTGACAAGGAAGTTAGAGCTTGCGACTGCTCGGAGTTGTTCTTGTCTCCAATGCCCATCTTTAGATTACGCGAGGCTGTACGAACACGGATGGAAAGTGCTTTGATTTGCCTTCTCCCAGAAGGTGTTTTGACTGGGTTTTTTTGAACTACAAAGGAGGCTTTTCGAGGGTGGCTTCAAATGTGAATTGATTTCTCCTCTGAAGGGACTACCAGCATCGATTCAACCTAATTGGACTATTTTGTGGTGACGAGGGGCAACTAGATAAGGCGGACACGGTGGTCATGGTGGCGTTTCGACCGCCCTGGAGGACGCACCAAGAGCATCACAAGACTGCTCGAGGCGGGAAAAGTTTGTTTTACTGAGGCACATTGCGGATAGACGAGTTGAGAGGGCGCTAACACAGCCTTTTCGTAACGCGCTACCCTGCTGCACTCAGTTCACTCGAACAGATTCGTTTCGAGAAAAAGGGTGTGGCTTCGTCACAATTCTGATGCACGCGTCTCCCACTTCAACTCGCCAAACCTCAATATATTCGCTGAAAGATGCGCTCTACGACTTCTGTAGTAGTGGAGTTCATCACATCAAAGCGCCGCATCGCACCTGCCCATACTTGCCAGTTGACTGTGGCAACCTGGCTTCTGAACTGGGTCATGGACAGTTTGCGTTTCCCTACTTGGTTTTGCTGTGCTGTGTACAGACATGATCTTAGCAAACGATGGAGAATGCGTCGCGGTGCATATTGGAGCGCAGCACGTTCTTTTTTCAACACGCTAGCTCTACCGAACTCGCCAGCAACATGGTGGGGAACTAGTCTGGTAGCGCTTCCATAAGCATGCCCCTCCGCCCCCCCCCGTAGATGCTCATCGTTGCAAGGATCATATCTGTATGCCGAGAGGGCTTCGTAACCTTACGGTCACTTTTTCACCGGATGGAATGTCACATGGAATTAAGCGCGCTAGAGATGTCTGAGATCCATGACATTTTTATCCACGCCTGGCTTACGAAAGAAATACTAGGCGAATTGAGTTTACGCCCGGTAAGACGCACCCGCTGTACGACGCTACATCTAAAGGGTTGAGTCAACTAACATAGGTTAAGACTGTTCGCGCAGTGTCGGCGCCCTTGGAGATGTGATAAGAAGTACTCCACTGAGAAAGTGTAAGGCAGCGACGTCAGACTTGCTGCAACGGCCAGGCTGTTCGGTCGCACTTCAGTCCGGGACCGCTGACGTGATGCAGCTCGAAGCATTGCGCATTGATCGTCGTATGCCGCGACTAAAGCGCTGCCGCCTCTCGCGAAGTCTGAGCACTGTTCAAAAGGCATCTTTATCCGGAAATGTTGGGGTTCTCACAAAATACCTGGGTGCACACAAGACCGAGGTATTGCCTTCAATCGTTCACCTTAGGCGTATGTTCTCACACATAATGTCTTTGCTGCTTGTTATGTCTCAGACTCTCAGAAAAATGGACGCTTTTATTTCAGAGGCTGATGAGCAAAATAAATCGAAGCAAGCCTCTGTTGTTCGCAAAAGCAGTACCAGCGATCTTCCCGACCGTGAATTGGCCATACGTGTCCTTCATCAACTTTTACCGATTTTCTGCGAGATCTTTATGGTTTGTTTTCAGTTCTCCTACACTCTCGAAGTTTTAGCTAAACTGTGGCAAGACCTAGTGATTTCATGATTTTGTTCAGAAATCACTGTCTGCAAGTGTACGACGCACATCTTTGTCGTTACTGCGAAAGATTGTTGAACATATGCAACTGGATGACATTCGATCACCTCCGAGCCAAGCTATAGAATCTCAAGGTGACCCAGCTAGGTGTCCTTGTGTTTGCTGTGTGCGCTAATAGACAAGTTGTACGGTTTCCACCGATTTCATTGCAGGTTCTTCAACAGATATGCAAACGCAATCCCCAGCAGATTTACCTCCCGGTGCGGAAAATTTGGTAACTGTGGTTGTTTCCGTGCTTGAGCAAGAAGAGGACCATGATGGGCAAGAGCAGGTGTTGCTGGTGAGCATGTTCAAATTATTAGCTGTGTTGGGGCAAGAAAGGCTTCCCTACCAAATTCCGTACATCACGGGCTGCGTTCATATCTTGCGTCAGTGTTTTGAGCGACCAGAAAGTATAGGTGTCTCTAGCGTACGGCAGCGTTTCGAGCCACTAGGAAAGTATGGAGCTTACACTGGTGTTCCCAGCAGTCGCCCGCCAAAGGCGCGAAGTTACTCTCGAAAACGCCCAAGACGCCGGCGTGACGCTAGATCAATGTACATACTTTCTTAGTCGCTCATAACGCTGGCATGCGCCCAAAACGCTGAGGCGAAGTATGAACGCCGGCTATTTGTGCTTTTCCTATCCTATTAAAATACGTTGGGCAGCTTATTTCCATTCAAAAATGTTTCAGATTCTCTCGTCCCTACTGCGCAAAGATCCAGAATTGTGGGTTCCTGAACTTGTACGTCTAGGTGTTTTCGAACGAGTGGAAGCGATGGCCAAGGAACCACCAAAGAGCTCTGAGGTAAGGCCGTTCTCTGTCCCAAAAAAGTTCCGACCTAATGCAATTATGCTTTTCAAGGACGATGATGACGATGCAGATCGAGCTGAAGAACTCAATGCTCGGAACAGCGCTATGAGCAGGTGAGGGACCGTGGAAATAGAACGGCTGCGGGGGGGGGGGGGTGGAATTTTGCACATTCGCTGACGAGCTGGCAAGTAGTTTCTACAAACTTTTGTCACTTTGACATGGCTTGACAAAGTTTCACAGAACTTGACTTGATGGCTCGACTCGTCGATAGGAAGTAGCGAAAAAGCAAAATGCCCCCCCCCCTCCTCCCTCTCATCTCTCCCGAGCTGAACTGCGCTGAGATTTATTTCGTAATTTGAAAAAGTTTCAGATCTACTACGTCTACTCCCTCCGTAGCAATGGAATTGGACGTGGTTGAGAGGAGCATCTCTGCGGGCATCAGTGATGAAACGGAAAAAGAACGAGCAGCTATGCTAAATGTAATGATGGAGGTATTAGGCTTGTTTATTAAAGTAGAAATGTTACAAATATTGAAACCTACGGTTTTCCGGTGGAGGACATTACAACTACGGAAACTCCCCCTCCTACTGTGGAAGTTGTGCAGCCCAATGCTGGTTCATCTCTCACGCTTATGGTCCCCACATCGTCCAATGACAAGGGAAAACTGGTTCTTCAGCAAGGTTTGTTTATGCTGTTTCTTACTGTATCCTGTAATGTATGCACGTTTTTGTGTTGATGGGGAAGCAGTAAGTTCCAGTAGGTTCTGCTCGGCTTAGTGGGGGCATTTCGGTGGTTTCCATCGACCAGTGCTGATGATTTATGTGGGGATGTGTTAGTGCTTGTTAAGCTAGGCGAAAGCAAGAGCTTCGTTCACACTTCACAGGAATCTGAGGGTCCCGTCAGAGTACGAGTATTTCAACAGGAACTAGGAAAAGAAATTAGCGAAATTACTAAATGTCCCCCTTCCCCCCTACCACCCTCTGAAATATTGGGTTGGAACATAAGTAATGGCGTTTTTTTTCAACTGAAAATTTTGTTTTAAAAGTGAAATGTTTTGCAAGCAAGCTTGATATCATCTGATAGGAAACTTCGCGTAGTATAAGAATATTATCTAAAGACGCTCGCGCCGAGGGAAGTATTTTGTAAATTTTTAGTCGTTGGAAGTTGAAGTGAAGTCGGGAAAGAATTAGCGCTTCGACAACTGCCTCTATTTACGTGTACTCGAAGTGCTCAAATCGTTTAAGCTGCTCCATACATTTGGAAAAGGTCGTGCTAGAAGTCTCAGCAAGGGAATCTCAATAGGACGCTTTGGAACTAATTTCGAGAATTTCAAAGTTGTCAACCTTCACCTCGCCGATATTGGGCAGGCTCACGTCTGTTCCACCTGAAATTTTATGCTATGCTAGACATCAGTGTGAATTAATTGGAATTTGAATCTTGGATATTCAATTTGAAACTACTAGTACCGAGGAAGTTTGCTATTCAAACGATATCAAGCTTGCTTGCAAAAGTCCTCTGACTTTTGGAACAGAATTGTTTCCGATTGAATAAAAAGGGCCACTTTATTATTAGCCACCCAGTGATAGTGGGCCTGGTAATACTGCCTCAGTGGCTGGCTAATATAAGTAAACGGCCGTTTTTTTTCAATTGAAAAATTTGTTTCAAAAGTGAAAAGTTTTGCAAGCAAGCTTAACATCGTTTAATAGCAAACTTCTCGTAGTATTAGAATATCAAATTCAAAATTCAATTAATTCAACTATTAGCATGAAATTTCTAAATAGAGGCAGTTGTCGAAGATGCTAATTCTTTCGCGACACTTCATTACCAACCTCTCAACGACCTAAAAAATTCACAAAAAACTATATCCTCAACCAGAGCTTTTTTGATATTCTTATACTACGAGAAGTTTCCTATCAGATGATATATAAGTTGCTTGCAACATTTCACCTTTTAAACCAAATTTTCCAAGTCGAAAAAAACGTATTCCCTTATGTTCTAACCCGTCAATAGAATAGTCCGTTCTGGGCATTAAGATAAGGACCCAGTACTGTTTGGTTTTCGCTTGCAAAATTAATGTCAGAGGTGGCTGAAAGGGATCGCGGGAATGTACAGAGGAGATGGGTTCTAACACACAAATTTTTTCATTCGATCATTAGTACTCTGCTATCTTGCCTCACGCTTGTAAATTTGAAAAATTTGAACTGGACAATGAAATTTATAAGTTCTTCGTTTTCTTGTTATGGTTCTTATTTATTCAGCTGAATAGTTCACTGATTTATGGTTCATTTGTTAAGATATGCCATACCGATGGAAGGAGTGGCGCGTTATTCGCGGAGAAGAGTCCACGTTCATCTGGTGCGATGTGCTCGCGTTGGAGCTGAGGTTCATTTTTCAAAACTTTATTTGAGCTCAGCTCGGCTTGGTGGGGCATTTTTTCTGATTCCCCATCAATCACTGCGTTCCTCTTATATTGGAACCTGTAATTTCCTGTTAAGCTTCGAAGAGGCACGGGGAATCGCTCACATTGGACAGGATTACAGGTGGCACCGAGGTGAAGCGCGTAATTTCAAGAGGCTAGCAACAGAAACTAACAAATGCAAATGCCTCTCTCCCCTCCAAACCGAACTGCGTCCCTGATTCGTTTCTCCTTCGCGCTTTTCTGAAATTAAAAATAATTCCGCTTCACAGTGAAAGTTTCCAGCTTCAATAGCAACGGGTGGTTCCGTTTCTTCATGGATGGAGAGGTGACAACGATGTTCAACAATGGCGTTGCTGAAAGTGTGTCCGATGAGGTTCGAGCTGAATCGAAGAAGTCTTTCATGACAAGATGGAGAAGGGTCAAACAAGTGTGGAATGATGACTCACTCCCCGTCAGCATTTTATGCGTACCCTGTATGGGTAAAAAGGTACGTTGAGGTTTGCTCTTGACTTAATTCAATTAGATATCTCGCAGTACTTCAAAGGTTAAACTTTTCTGCGTATTAGGTCAGATGCTGTACTCCACTTCCTTCTTGAAATTGCATGGGAAGGGTGTCAAGAGCATGCGACGTGTTGGAAGCCCCGCCCACCGCCTGGGCTCCACCCATCAGCTTCCCGCGGAACTCTAACATAACGATTCCAACTTGATTTAGAGTTAGGAGTTAGGGAGAATACAAAAAAATTAGGATGCGTCGAGCGGTGTCTTGGAATAAAGCTAGAAGTATCGGGAAATTCGTCCACGCCCCAAGATCGTTCACGCTTCGACTCGTCCGAAAAACTCATCCACACCAGTAAACTGGTTGGAAAGTAAGGAGGATGTAATATGGTGCTTTTCAAAGATTTTCTTTTCTTTTCTTTATAACTGAATCTCTTGGCACCCACAAACTCATATTTAGACCCAGCTACTCTCGTTTCATTATCACGAAATATGCATTTCAATCAGCAAAAATTTGTTTACATTTTGAAAGTGCTGTTCAGGTGGAGTTCCCTCGTTGGGAAATGTGGAGTTCTCGTTCTACGGAGCTTACAATCAAGTGCTCCAAGAGTGAGGAACACATCGTTGTCAAGGACGAACTTGGTGGATTTGTCGTTGAGACGAGCGATAAGACGAAACATAGCCAAATGCCCGAGACAGCGCTATCTTCTGAGTTCCACACGGGTACATTGAATGAAAAAACCTGGTTCTATTCGTGTGGTGCTAAGAGAATATTCCAGGGTGGAGCTCGCATGGAATGACGGCAAGACGGTCTAAATTCAGAGGAGAAATTCAGCGTAGAAAAGTGCAAGAGTTGGCATGGGAACTCTGGAATAACCACCTTAAAGAGGCACGTGCCAAACCACGTGAAGCGCTTATCGAGTTGCAGAGGGCTGCAATTTGCATACAGGTAGGTGGCAAATGAGATTCCCGGACTTGGTTACTGCTTAACTATCTAGTTTTTCACCTTAGCGGGGGTAAGAGAAATTAAATCCAATTTAGGATGCGGTGACCACAGCAAATCTTATCGCTGGAATTTCCATCAAGAGCAAACACGTGAAGCAACCACGTATCGAGAAAGTTCAAGAAGTAAGTGATGATAAGAAACGGACAAGACAATCGTGATTTGTCGCGCGCGGCGTACTGTGCGGCGATGCGCGCGAATGCGCATCATTTGGTCGACTGCAGCAGCAAAACCAGTACGGATTCGAGCGATTGCAAGACCCCATGAC